CTACTATGTGAACGTCATGTTGAAACTTATTGGTTTGTAGACAATTAAAAATTTGATATTGATTATTTGATATATCAAATGTCATCAAATTTACCTACCATCAAGTGTTAAATACTGGAAGCAATAAATGGTGTTAATTTTCCAATTTGGACAACTTTGGATACAAGTATGTAGCACTTTTGGTTGGATGGACAATATTACAATCTAAATAAAATAGAATTCTAGTATCTCTGGAAACAGTTATATAAGTTATAAAATATAATATCTAAAAAGAGATTCAATTCTTTTTCCCATGCTAAATTGACTTACAAATTGGGGAAAGGATGGTGATATGGAAAAAATGGGGAGAAAGTGGGAATATTGGCTTAGGATCAATTGATAGATGATGAGAATGCATTTTTAACATATACTGTCCTAAGAGCCAAATATCATCTATCAGATGTAACTTAGAGGCAATATTTACAGCTACAACATTTGTTAACAACACTGTTTGAACGAACAGCATTTTCATTATCTTCTTATCTAATTTCTATTACCCGAGATACTAGAATAACTGTTCAATTCTTTTAAAATTAAAAAAATACTATTAGTTTCTATAGGTATTTCTTATCAATAAAACAATTTGATATGACTAAAGAATTAGAGGTTTCTATATTGTCTAGACAATGGGAAAGTGTCTTAACTTTTATACTGGAGTGTCAATAAATAAAACCCTTCAAGATTTAAGATACACTGAGATCGAGAGGAATTAATTTAGGCCCATTGATTTTAAAAAAGTGAATTCTAAGATCCAATCCTTTGGGGACAAGGAAGAGGTCCATGTAAACCATGGAAAAGAGTACTTGGCTGTCTCCACATGCATGTGCAGGCACTATCGTTTTGCTTCATTTTTTTACCAGGCTCTTTTTAAAGGATTTGCATAGTGCTAGTGTATTATTTTGGCTTGCATGAAACGGTATCTGCAAGTGCTTTACTACAACTACAGACAGTCCACCAGTAAAGGCCATTTGCTTAGTAACTGTTCTTTGTTACGATGGTGTTGAAAAAAGTTACTTATGATCAGTCTTTATACTGACGAGTGTCGCAGCCTCCCTGCAACCATGTAGTCGTGATTTATGCACTTGATAAAATGCATATATTTATGATGACTGCAGCATACTGGGGTCACATTATTGCCTCTCTCTGATCTTCCCACTAGCTTCTGATTCATGTAATGACCGCAGCAATAGAAGGTTGTAAAATCGGTCTCAGTCATGTGATGACTCATTTAACAACTGCATAGCTTAGTGATGGAGGTTCCAGTACCAATTGTGGACATAGGTCAAGATCTTTATTAGTAATGAACTCCCTGTCAAAGGAAACCACTCAATCACAAGTCTGATAGTCAGTCTTTGGGTCACAGTTGAATTAATGGCCTCTACAAGTCAATAATTCATGTTTTTTATATAATTCTTGAATTCTGAATGCATTTAAAATGGACTTTAAATCCATTGTACCATTTCTTCCAAGAATTGCTAAAGGTCAATCCATTATGCATTCATTTTCTGGATTTCTGAATTATTTTTACTACAAATACTGTACATTTGCATTCTAAGAGATAAGGAAAGTTTTTTTCCCCATTTGTCTAAGTTTGAGGACATTTTAAGTCATAAACGAATTTATCTTGTGTTCTGAACAATGAAAAATGGTGCATATGAAATGTTTATAATCAAGCTGAGAGCCTGAGACAAAGACAATTGAATACAGATTACGTAATAAAAAGGAGGTAGCTATTAGGTTAAAGACACCATTTATAATTATCAGTGTGAGAAAATGTTTCTCAAGAAGATTCAAGAGTGGGGAACACAACATTCCCAGATGCTACAATATAACTGATGTACAGTTTAGACCAACAACATGTATACAAAAATATCTTAGTAATTTACAGATTCTTAAGCAGTTCTGACAGCGGAAGCCCTATCGGAATGAACAGAGTTTGGGCTATAGGATCACTAAGGATCAGAGCCTTATTAAGATGCATTTACTTGTCCAATTACCAAAACAGCAGGAGATCATTAAATTTTCTAGTTAGCAGACACAGCAATGTTAATTTCTTAATGTTGCCAAGGCTATTTCTTGGCATTTTGCTTCTACACTTTCTTCTAGCAAAAATTCATAAAGTAAAAACTAAGCATGAGAAAACAGGGTAGATGCATTTAAATAGAATACTCTTATCTTGGTGACAGTTATTTGTAGTGTTCAATATTCATGAGGATATTGAGAAATGACCACTAGACAGGGAATCTTACCCTGTCTCAGATAGTTTATAGAGTAATCAGGAGAACTATACTCCTTTCAATGTTTGGAAGTAATTAAAAAAAAAAGGTGAATTTTTACTATCCTCAATGGAACTTGCAATATAGTTAGATACAGAAGGATAGGGCTATGATATAAAAGGAAAAACTAATGAAAAATGTGGAAAAAAGCAGAAAAAAATTCCGTTCTCTTTATTCACACCGTCCCCACACAAACGCCATTCATTTTTATATCCAACTTCTAAGTTGGATTGTTGCTGTAGAATGCTGGTCTAAATGAACTGATCCAGCATTCATCATTCTTATGCTCAGAAATACGTACATGTTGCAACATAGCCTTTTGCTTCTTTCTACGTCCATCTCCTCCTACTGTACGGTTCGTATTCAACATACTAAATGAACACCTGCTCCCAACCAAGTCTTTTTAATCCCTCACCTATATTTTATACTCCTGCAGTCATTCAGTTGCAATCTGGTCCTAAATCAACCTAAATCCTTCTCTTGACTAGATGCACTGTATTCTCCTCAGCTGAATTTATTTTATCTGCTATTTTGAAATGGAAGGGTAAGAAATAGATGCCTTTTCCTTATTCTTGTTTATTTAAGCTGCTGCTGGAATTGACTAATTAAAGGGATTTTTAGAATCGTAATACTATAAACAAAACAAACTGGTTTAGAATTATTAAGCAACATTTAAAATGCATTTGAATAACCTTAAGTAACTTAGGTGCCAACTGATCCTAAGCTACAGCTCAGATAAATAAACGTGAAATACTGTAGAAGTCTTAACTTACTAAGGCCTCCAGATACAGTAAATAAAGAGCTTAAGTCTCCGGTATACCATACTCTCAAATAAGTGGATTTCATTGCTTGCATTTAAAAGAGGAAATGCAGCAGAGAAAAAGAAATACAAGGTTTAATTTTGATTACAAAAGAAACTTGCAGGTGCAGGCTGTAAAGACATGCCAATGCTCTTGAGAGATGTTAAGGGTCTCTTGTCTTGCGTTTCAAATGCCGTGCCATACTAAACCCATGTCATAACTCTTTTCAAGTAGTTATCACAGATCTTGTCATTAAAGGATATTACTAGAAAAATCCAAAAGAAACAATCAAGTAATACCTTTAGAAGGAAAAACTCAAAGGTCATGAAGTAGTGAATAAGCTGTAAAGTTTTCAAAACTTTGCTCACTTTTCTGTCTTCTCAGTTGGTCCCAATAAAGATATTACCTTGGTCGGGGTGGGCAACTATGGCAACTTTACAACCTGTGGACGTCAATTCCCAGAATTCCTAAGCCAAGCATGCTGACTCAGGAATTCTGGGAGCTGAAGTCCACAGGTCATAAAGTTGCCATAGTTGCCCACCCCTAATCTTGGACTTTCTTTTGTACTTTGTCCTATGTGTCAAGAGTAACTTCTGTTATGCTTGCCTGACTATTGCATTTATTTATATAATTTTAAAGTAATGCCACAGAAGGTTTTCTTTCATTACATATGTCAATCTAAACAACTCCATTCCATTTTTCAAATATATCCACCATCACTTGGAGACTTCCTTGGGATAGAGGCTAATTCAGAGGACCTCTGTACCAACTCCATGCAGGTGGCTGCTTCAGAGATCAGTCTGCTTTTTTGGTACTGACAAAAGTAAGATGGATCCAAGAGCAGTAGCAACCAAATATAGCAACAGCTGTTCTGCAAATGCATTCTCAGTTGAGATGAATGGTTCCTCCTACCTTGTTTGATGAATGATTGACAGCTGTTTGTTTGTTACAGCCAGATTAAAGTGCGATTCACCATTCTTGAGCTGAGAGAAAACATGTTGTTCCCCCTGGTGATTAGTATCGCGTTACAGATACAAGGTTGGCAAATGGCGCTATTCTGATGTAAGATGAATAAGGTTAAGTTAAGGTCAAGGATGGATGAATGCCCTTGGGTTTGGTTCTCTCCACTCATCAAAATCTAGTATCAAGTGAGAAAGCATCCAAAACTATCGATAAAAATAATTAATCAAATAAACTACTACTATTTGATGTGTACCCTTCCTTGCTGCAGTGAACACACAAGTTAATATTTATCTTGTGATAAACAGATTTGCTTGAGAGCCAAATATAGACAGAATAACAGAGTTGGAAGGGACCATGGAGGTCTTCTAGTCCAACCCTTTATTCAAGCAGGAGGCCCTATACCATTGCAGACAAATCTCTTCTTAAAAACCTCCAGTGTTGGAGCACCCACAATCTCTGAAGGCAAGGTTCCATTGATTAATTGTTCTCAAGGATTAAACATAAGGGATATTATAGAATAATCCAAAGATTTTTGTTTTGTTTTCACATTGAGAAGCTGGCTGTCACATTCAAATCTTGAAATAGTTATCCAAGAATCCTCAGATTGGTTCTTAGTTAGGGACAGACCATGCCACATGAGGAGTCCTAATTATCAGAGGTACAAATCTATGAGCTGAAAAGTACCAGGTGGGAAATATTAGAAAAGAGTATCTTGAAAATTGGGGGGACTTTCCTTTGCCGGACCTATCTACAGTAGATGGTCATCTCAGAGAAATGCAGCAGCACATCCTATAAGACAGCTTCTGCACTGAGCAGGACATATGCTTATTTCACAATCCACATTCAGCTTCACCATCCTAAGCGTGAACTACAATTGGGTAAAAGAATGGAAAAAGTAATCTAAACACATTTATTTACTTACATCTCTCCTGGGAAAAGTTCCTAGTAGCTTGAATTCCTCCCAAGGGTAGCCCTTGGAAGCTACAAAATCAAAGACGACCTGCAGTTTGCTACTGGCCAGGAAACGCCGTTCAAAGAATTCTCCACTGGGTGTTCGGATACGTAGTTTACTAAGTGATTCGGTGCTCTCCTGTTTTGGTTCAGGAGGCAACGACTGCTCTAAAGAGAGTCTTATAGCCTGAGGAAAGAAAGAAAAAAAGCCATGTAGAGATCAGCAGTTACTTCACTGTTAATTCTGTTATTTTGTAAATAAGAATAGCATTATAAAAAATAGGCTGAACAAGAGTACACTTTGATTAATATTTGCTCATAAGTCTGCCAGAGGCTAAATTGGAACATTTCTCCAAAATGGTGGATTTCTTTCATTTCCATGAAGGTCTCTAGGCTTCTGAGAAGGTACGTAACCTGTTCTTGACTCAAATTTTGTAACAATATCAAATTTCCACATCATATCAGTTTTTTTTAAAAAAAATCTGTTCATTTTGAGGACTAAAAAAAAGAGAAGAGTCAAGTCTATGCTTTTACTTCCTAGACCAGTGATGGCGAACCTTTTAGAGACCAAGTGCCCAAACTGCAATCCAAAACCCACTTATGCATCATCGAGTGCCGGGTGGGCGTGGCCCATTGGGTGGGTGTGGCCCATTGGGTGGGCGTGGCTGCGGTGGTAACGGCAGACTGGGTGGGACTAAAAAGTTCAATCAATCAATTCCAACTTTGCAAGATCTTTTTTTTCCCCGCAAAAAACTGAAATTGACTGATTGAACCTTTTTTTTTTTTGCACACGGCGGTGGAGGCCTAAAGCGAAAAGGTTTTATAAAACCCAGCGGAAGGCCTAGGACTGGGGCGACAGTGCGCATGCCCACAGAGAGGGCTCTGAGTGCCGCCTCTGGCACCCGTGCCATACGTTCGCCACCACTGTCCTAGACTTTCCAATTCCCAACAAGAGAGGGGCATGAGTTGGCTCATTGACCTATTCTCCCTGCCTTTTACAGAGGTTCAAATCTAAGAAATAAATTTCGGCGAGATTATCATTTCCAACATTCTATAAATGGTTACTAGCTTTAAGAAAGCTTTCTAAATAATGATTGGCAGGCCTGACCCTCACCTTAACTGCCTTTATTTAAAGTAGTTTATATTTCCAGATCAAATTTTACAGTGATAGTAGAAGATTTTGCTCTGTTATGAATATTGCCACTAATACTTAAATGACATCACTAGGTAAATAAAATGTCATGATAATGGTCATGACACTTTGATCACACAATCAAAGTCTTAACCCTTTAAATATGCACCCACACATATAAAATGGGCAGGGCTTTGCATGATCTTGACTCATGATTACCATTAGATAAGTGGGAAATATCTTTCCCTTTGCCTAGATAAATTATAAGGTAAACTTTCTTTTTATTTCTAATGTTTAAGCCACTTTTTTTTAAAGAAAAATGTTCTCCAAGTATTAGGATGTCTTCCTGTTTTTGAAGTTCATTTCCACACAACAGTTCTATAATTTACATCTCAATAACGTATTCATCTTTATTCATTTCTTAATAACAGCTAAAAAACAACTAATTAAAATAAATCCTTCTCTTATAACACATTATTAAACCAATAGTTTGCTGCATAGCAGTGATAGTAATTTAATTGTTGGACAGAAAGGACTTAGGAAATCTTGATTGAGTGAATAATTGCAAAGTGCCAAATTGCCCTTTAAAGCATAAAAATCAAAACCATTAAATATTTAGACAGATATATTAATTTATTAAAATCCCGTAACCTACTCACAGATATTTTTTTTAAACAAAAGAGCAAAGTTCTCAACATCTAATTTCTCTATACATAAATTTGGACCAAAATGGGTTACCTAGTTATGAAAATATATATCAATGAAATAACTTCAAGTCAAACTGTTCTATTAGTGCTTTCAAAACAAAAACATTTCTTTAAAATGTTATGTGTTTTGAGAATGTTAATGAATTTTTAAATGTCCAACATTTTTTTAGATTCCTCTGTTGAGCTAGATTCTGACTTATTCATTCTTAATAGTGGGATCTTTGAAATAAAGCAATGGAACTTAAAAAAGACTATACAGCTTATATCTGATTGATTTTCAAGTATGGTTAAAACCGGATTCAATGAATTTAAGATTAGAATATACCTACATTTGAAAACGAAAAGTTAGTGTTATTAAGAAGAATCAAATATCAACAGGACAAACATAAACACCAGCAAAAAAGTGTACAAATAAGTATGTCCAAAAGCTATATGCACATACTATAGATTAGAACTTTCGTCTTTTTGCCTCCACACTTTTGATGTTTTTAAGCTTACAAAGCAATACCTAATAATAAGAACAAGAACAAGCAACTGTAGAAAATACACTCTGCAAAGGTTTTATATATATTATCTCAAATGGGCCAACAAGTAACAAATAATGTACATCTGGTCTGGGAGGTTAATGTGTTGCTATGTGGCAGGCATCATTTGCATTCCACGCATTCAATTGTTGACATTAAGGAAGGAGAGAAAGTAGAGACGCTTCTCCATTCCTTCCAGAGACTTTAATAAAATCCACTGGAAGCTTACTTGGCGTCTGACTGGAAAACAGGAGTTTGGAAGTGAACTATACAAAGCAGATAAGAAAAAAAAGAGGAAAAGAGAAAGGAAAAGACTGCTGTTTCCTAAGTGCTGCTGATAGATTACTTTTCATTTCCGGAGTACTGCTGACTACCCATTGTGTCTGATTACAGCATGGTCCTTGTTGACCTAGCTGAGACAGCTCAAGGAGTTATATAAGGAATCCAGTTTCCAGAAAACAGCTTTGTGTTTGCTCATAAGTTTGCTCATAAGTTCAGTCAGCAAACAGGGAAGTTTTCATAGGAAAGTGGCTAGAGTAATCAGAAGAGGGGGGTGAGGGAATCATGGTGTGTACAATGTTTGTTTTCCTGGCTGAAGAAGATCCAAAATACACCTGCAAGTGCAATCTTGTTTTCTTCTTGAAAGAGAGAGTTAAAGGGCATAAAGAAAGTGTTTCCAAACCACAACACATCAATGGAAATGAGAAGTTCCTGGACAGGACAATGGACATACTCAGAGAAGCCAGAGAAAGTGAATACATAGATCCGGGTGGGGTGAGGGGGACTTTGGCAGAGACAACAGCTCACGGGATCAAAAAAGGCAAAAGGATTAGGAGACATCCAGGGGTAATTATGATTCTCCCTCTAGAAGATGGTCCACAACTACCTGAGCAAACCTTCTACAGAACACTAGTGAAAACATATAGTCCCCCCCCATGGACTTAAGCCAAGAGTCACCTTGAAAAAGAAGTGTCTAGTGATGGTGGGTGGTTCTCCGCTGAGTTGAACTGGGCAGCTACCTGCAATCCCAAATGATGTCAGGAGATGAAATCAGTCTACCTCAATAAAACTTGCTAATGAGAACTCTGAGAAAGCATGTTTGGAAAAGAATCACCTTTAATTTAGGCAGCTGCCCAAGAATTTGACATAAGGCTTACAAAAGAGACCCACACCCACGCCCGCAAAACCAACAAAAATGAGCTATTTGGATATGTTAGCAATAAAGCCAAAGAGGTTGTAGGTCCATTGTTAGAAAAGGTTGTGAATGGGTAATAGATTAATGGTTGATCTCAGAACCCTTGCATTAACCTTTGAGAGAAGGCAAGCAAGATTCCAGAAGCTTGGAAGACAGAAAATATCATCCCTGCTTTCAAAAGGGGGAAGAAAGAGAATCTAAAAAAACTATAGACCTATCAGCCCGAGATCTATAATGGGCAATTTCAGACTTGTCATCAACAGAATGCAAGGTAACTTAAAAATCTTGAACTTTGAGAACTTTGGCTTCTCATAAATCTCTCTGTAGAGAGCCAGTCTGATATAGTAGTAAAGAGATCAGATAGAAATCAGAAGACTGTGACATGCAAAGCCAGCTGGGTGACCATGAGCCAGTCGCGCTCTCTCTTAGCCATAGAGAGCAGGCAAAGGCAAACCACTTCTGAAATTTTGTCAAGAAAACTATGTGTAAATCCAAAAGAGGTTCAAATAGATCACAGGAGCCCGATCACAATAAATTTAAGAATGAATGTGCTAGAGTTTAGGCTTATCTGATTTCCGAGATTCTGTATACCAACCTCTTATTTACTTCACGATACACCATACAGTTAATAAGATTCATTGTAAATTTTTCTTTCTCGAATGTACTCCTCTGTTATAGGCTTGACACTCTCAGTAGTCAAGGCAAAAATAAGCACACATAAGCACTGACTAGGAGGCATAAATAAAGGCTTGAATAGATCTGAATAAGCAGGTCTTTTTTTTCTCATAGAACGCCCAGAACGGAATTCCGGCACCTTTTTTGGATGGGTAGGCAAGGCGGGTTGTATGATGTGTGTGAGTTCCGGCACCTTTTTTTTTTTTTTTTAGAAAAAAAGCACTGTGAATAAGCATATCTTACATTGTATCATATCATAATGTAATATATATATTTATAATAGGGAGTCAGTTTGATTAATGGTTAAGGAGCCTAACAGAGTTGTTGATATGAAGAAAATAGATAACAAGAGTATTAGGTATGTTTGCTGTTTCACGTTACATATAAAAAAGGTGAAATAATAGTAATATGACCCTCCATAAATTGTAACAAGGAGATCACTTTGCAAGCTGCATGAAATTTAAGGCAGATATACCAGGTTATTAAAGAAACAGTCTGTGTCTCAAGAATCAGAAGAATCCACAGTAGCCAGTTCAAAGTTAAAGCTGATGCTATCCATAAGACAAGGAGTAGCTGCCCTTGGAACATTAGATTACAAGAATTCAGGGCAGGATGCAAGACCATTGTTTCTAACCAGGGAGAGAGTCTGGAGGATGATGTTATATAGCCAGAGCTCCTGGCTTTATCTAATTAGGGGAAATAATGCCTTCTCCTTTCAAAGAGCTGTCCAGAACTTCATTGCTGAGCTATGTTTAGCTGATGGTGCATTCTGGGGTTTGGCACTCTCCCAAGTTCAGCATCTAACTCAGACATGTCAAACTCGCGACATCACATGACGTCGCGCGACGTATCGGAGCTTTTTTGCCATTGCCGGCAATGGGGTGGCCGCGGCTCCGGTATGATGAAACCGGCCCGCGGGCCGACAGTTTGACACCCCTGATCTAACTCTTAACAGCCAACTGTCTTGAGTCTGAATCAATTCTGAAAAGGGACTGACAACTACTGGTGATTCTCTTCAGTCTCAGATCAAGCCATAATAAATAGCTTGTTTGTGAGCCCTTGGACAAACGTACTACAATTAAAAGGATCCAGCACTGGCTTGTTGTGAACAAATCATGTCAGAGTCATCTTCTTTTCTTGGTAGAGCTACCAAAATGCCATAAATATGAGTGCATCTAAATGCAGCTCAAGCAAAGCCTTTGATAAAGTTTCTCATGATATTCTCCTTAATAAAATGGTAAAATACAGACTAGATGATAGTCATTAAGCAGACTCACAATTGGCTGAATGTACCCCAGAAAGCTTGTTAATGGATGCATGCCATAGGCCTTTATACTGCACCCTCTGTCTTTCAACATTTAACCAGATTCTTGGATGAGGGAATTGAGGAAAAATTTATCAAGTTTGCGGGAGACACAAAGCTGGAAGGAGGGTTAATTCTTTAGTGAAGAAAGAAATATTAAAAAAAAAATCAAACAGGCTTTTGCAATGGGCTGAAATGAAGAGAAATACAGTTATGCATCTGAATAGGAAAAATGTAAGACATAAATATACCATGGAAGAAACCTGGCTTGTGAGTAGTACATGTGAAAGGGGTCTGGGTGTTCTTGTCAACCACAAATTAAACATGATCTAATAGTATAATGCAGCTGCTAAAAATAACATATAAATATTAATCACTATCCATCTTGAATACATAGTGGAAAGAGGAAGCTTTAGAGTTCACAAGGTTAATACTGTATGGAACAAAACTGTGACTGAATCTGGATGTTCTGCTTCGGATACCACGAAGCCTCCACCCAGAAGGTAACAAGGAAAACAGGTGGTGAAGAGGATGTGTAGTATCCCAGACAATCTTGCGGACCCTGCTCAAGCAGTGCTTATATGCTATGTCCTGGATGGAAGGGAGAGAATTGCCTATAATCTTTTCTGCCATCCTCCCCACTCTCTGCACTGAGAGGATTAAGGAAGGACAGCAGAAGCATTGTCACACAAAAGGGATGCACTTATTGTCAAATGTACCAGAAAGTAGAAATCAGAATCAATGGGTTACAACTACAAGTACATTGGTTCAGGCTACATGTCAGGAGAACTTTCCTGATTGTATGAAGTACAGTATCAGATGGAGAATATTATTGCCACATGAAGTGGTGAGTTCTTCAATGGAGAACTTCAAATAGAGACTGGATAGTCATCTGTCACAGAGATGCTGTACGTAACAGCATTAAACAAGAGCTAGACTAGATGAAATTGAAAATAGTACATATGCTTAAATATTTTATTATTTTATCATTTACCTGCACAATGGACTTATTTTAATCTTTTATAAATGGATGAATGTTGTTATCCTTTTGTATTTTCTCTTCTGAGGCACCTGCTTTCTATCATTGTATTTTGACATTTACCAATACTGTATAACAAATGCAATAGTATTTACTGAACCCAAGCAATTATACTAGAAAAAACAAACAGCAGCTTAGAAAGATCTATTTTCATTATGTAAAGAATAACTTCCCCTCCAAAGTAACTACTCTCTAAAGCTTTAGTGCAAAATAGATATTTACAATGGATATTCTATAGCAGTGAACACACTTAAAGAACAATGAAGGAAGAATAAAGTTAACAATTCTTGGATCTGCACTGCAGATATAAAAAAAGATGATTCATTATGTGGACAGGTGAATGACTGGCTATCAAACAGAAGCTGAATGAAAGAACCTCATATAAGTAAACTCTGTGGTATAGCAATGGACTATAGGTAATATGTATATAAAAGGAATGTTTTTACCCAGCTTTGTGAATAATGTTTTTGTTCTGATATATAAATATTTTTTCCCTTTTATAGCTATTTGCATTGAGAAAGAGTCCAATTACAGGCATAAAAGGCAGACTTATTCTGGAGCTTTCTATAAAAAAAAACTCTGAAAGGACATTCTAAATAGTTAAATAGCATAATTTATGCTCCAACAAAATTACACAAGAGTAAAATTATCCTACGCCTATATTGACCTGAGTTGAGACTGACCCCAATGTTGTTAGCCTTCTAGAAGAATAAGAAAGCATGGGTTTGCCAACTGGTCTGGGGAATCTGGTAATGTTGGTGACTAAATGACTATGTAAGAAAATAAGTGAATTCTTCAGCATGATTTGATTTCTGTGGTTATTTGATGATTCTTATACTGTTTGGGGGCATTTTTAACCTTCCCAGAATCATGGTAGTCAAATAGGTAGGCATAAATCAATGTAAGTAAGTAAGTAAATACGGACAGTTAGAGAAAGAGGATATTGAACAGAAATATTAAGATAGGAAGAAACTGAAAAAGTAAAAAGATTATATAAAAATGATATTCAAAATCTCTTTGGAAGAGATCATCTGAAATATAATTGTGGGTGGTTTTGATTAAAAAAAATTAGCTTAGATACTCATTTCTTCTTTGTCAGCATTCCCGGGGAATGGTGGACAGGAATGATGAAACTTCCATGATGATGGAAGCAAAAGACTTATGAACTTGCATGCAACATCATGATACAAGTCTGAAAGGATTCACATCATGATGTCACAATGTGCATTTTATCACTTCACACTTTATACCAGACACCTATGTTTTCCTTCTGGTAGAAAACATCTGAATAGGAAACACTTTGTTTTCAACAAAAAACATCAGAACTACAGCTAGTAGCTTCCCTTACACAGTTGTTAGTGTACAGTTGAATAAAAAGTTAAACTCACTTACTTCACGCTCTTCCTCCTGTTCTTTTCTAATCTGTTCCAAGCGAAACTGCTCTGCAATTTCTCTTTCTTGTGCTTCCCGCTGCAGAACAAGTGATAAATTAATAAGTCTGTTCAAACAGAATTTATCATTTGCATGGCTTTCCATATTTGAATGGTTTACATTTCTTCACAGACACAATACTAATGATTCAGAAAAATATATCTGAACCCTATATCTGTTTCTCTCTACTGAAAACGATCCTTCTTTTAGACTCTAAAACTATTCAGACTTTTTTAAAAATAATGGGCAGTCTAATATTATCCCCACCATGCTGGAAACGCTGAAAATAACCATGAGCCTTGTAGGCAAGCCCTGCCTCTGAGAAAAGCATCCATTTTTGGCAACATTCAGTAGATCAAAACAAGCATAATGGAAGTCAAAGAAGCATGATCAAAGCCATGGATGCTGTTGTACAAATTGCCAGAGTGAATTCTTTAAAATCTCTCTCTCTCCACGTGTGAAGGTTCCTTTGCCTGAGGGATAATACCCAATTAGGAAATCTTCTTAACTGAAGAATCTCACTTTGCACATAGATGTTTCCTCAGAGAACTTGGTCTCCCAAACAATGTATTTCAGAAAGCAAGATGGTTCATAGGTCTAATAGTCTGCATAGTTTTAAGATCCTCCTCCCGTGTTGTCACTGAACTGGAATCATGTAACTTGCCTTATTTTTACTCCAAGCATTAATCCAATTATCATTAAATTTTTAATAATATTAGATATGACTATAGTTACTTTTACTTTATTTCTTTCATTTCCACATATTTTTATATTCGAGTTCTTTCCCTATTTGCATTATTGTGGCAGGACTGAATATGACTAGGCAGATTGAGGAAATCAACAGAAGGAGACAATTTTGGATATATGGTAAAGTAGTAAAGAATTGATTTATTTATTAATATGGTATTTTTATAGTGTTAAAGTGAAACCATTCACATCAAAGGTGATATCAAAGTAGGTATTTTCTGAGAATTTGGGGGATACGTAAGGTTACTATGATCGACTGAAAGCAGCAGAAGGTTGCAGTCATGTGTTTACTAAAAGAATAATATATTTCTTTTTCTAGTAAAGTTATAATGATTGATTGAGAAAAGTAGTACCAAAAGCAATTGCAGCCAAGCAACTTTTTTTTATTGAAACAGGTCCTTTCCAGTAGGAACAACAGAACATTATGAGATTTCTTCAATAGGAAAGCCACGTTTCTCAGAATGTCAGTGTGATGGAGATCTTCTCTCCTCATCACAAGTATAGGAGGGCCTTGGTGGCTCTCTGAAAAGGATTAGGAAAGGGACCAGATCCTGGGATACAAGTGACAACACTGGTGACAAAACATGATCTGATTTGGATTAATAATTAGCTAACCTATTTCTTAAGATTAGTCTTAAACATTGTATGCTTTGTAATGATTGATACATACTTTTGCTCTATCAGCTTCCAGAGAGATTCGGTAAGCTTCATCTTGTTCTCTCTTCACATTTTCTCGGGCCTCACGTTCATCCTGGGATAGGATAAAGACAGGAAGATAAAAAAAAATAGTTTGGTATTTCAAAATCAATATTCATCCAGGTGCAAATACCTGTTTTGGAACACCTGTCCTTTGTTTACAGTATACTAACATTTGGAGAACACAGGTTGAAAGAAAGGAACTGGATAGTCAGCGAAGTGTACGAAATTATTTTTCTGGGTATCTGATGCAGGTTTTAAAAGGACACATTAGATTATTTCACATTAGGGAATTTCTCTGCCTTGACTGCAAACTACAATGGGCTACAGTCTTTTAGTTTGGTATTAACTAGTATACTTTCTTGATCTAAACAAAATTGGTTACCATCAAACCTTAGAGTTGGAATCTGGAAGTTCCCAACTAACTCCTACTAAGTGAACCGTATTCATACTGTAATCAACTAGAATATCCCTGACAGATGACTGTCAGCCTTTGCTTAAATACCTCCAATAAAGAGAATCAATTATCCCAACAAGAAGAATGGCCGACAATGCTGTTTCCTCCCAAGCTCCTTTGGCTGTTGATAATTTGTCCCACTTTCTGCCATTGCTGCTATTTTCTTTCCTGGTAAATGCATTGTTTTGCTGCAGTAACACCATAACATGCCCTGGCTCCCAGAATTGCTACTGTAAATGAGATGGACAGCATATACTGTAAAGGTACAGTAAATACAGGCATTGGGACTCTAAATTTATCCCAACTGGAGATCATATTGGCAGATAATTTTCTTTTTCAGGCCAAGATTCAAGAATTCAGGAGTTCCTCTAGATTTAATTCTTCCATGTTTGGTATTATTCTTTAGTAAAACAGATACAAAGGGATTTCAGGAATGTAAAAATATATTATGCATGGCTGCCTTGCTATAGCACGAAGATATGAAATGACACCGCTGAATTCAATTTTAAGTTAACAGTTTCTTACTCAGATGTACCTTCTCATCAAGTTCATTGTTAGATAATGGAACATTATTTATCCAAGCCAGATTTAACTATATAAAATATTTGTACAGGTTTTTTTAATGGTATGTTTTAATTAAGATTAGTGTTGCACTGCAGCGCAAGCAATTTACAATGTAAGATTCATCAGTATACAAGATTACAGACAAAATGGTGATACTCTTCTGTACATGCAAAAATAAATATTTGCATATCACAAGAACAAGCTTTCCTTCCGAAGTCCCTTAGTCCCTTGGAGCTTTAGTAAAGGACATACCTCTTCCACTGAGCCTTTACAGTAACAGAGTAAAGCCACCTCTAGGAAAGTTATGCAGCAGCGCTTTGCCTTCTCCATTTTATCATCTTCAGATGCCATGTAGATCAGGGGTGTCAAACTGCCGGGCCGCGGGCCGGTTTCATCATACCGGAGCCGCGCCCACCCCATTGCCAGCAATGGCGAAAAAGCTCTGATACGTAGCGCGACGTCACGTGACGTCGCGAGTTTGACATGTCTGATGTAGATGGTCTTAATCCATTACAATTTTCAACACTTTTGCTGTGTAATTGACCCATTTTTAAAAATATATTCTTAGTAGCGCATATAAACATTGGGTAATCAGTACATAGCAGCAGCCTCTCTTTAGAGGGGCAAGTTGTGAAGTACAGGTAATCCTCGACTTACAACAGTTCATTTAGTGACCGTTCAAAGTTGCAACAGCACTGAAAAAAGTGATTTATGACTTATGACTGTTACAGCATCCCCACATGAATGAAATTTGTATGCTTGGCAACTGACTCATATTTATGATGGTTGCAGTGTCCCAGGGTCATATGATCACCTTTTATGTCTTTCTGATAAGCAAAGTCAATGGGAAAGCCAGATTCACTTAACAACTGTTAGAGGAAAGGTTGTAAAATAGGGTAAAATTCATTTAACAAATGTTTTGCTTAGCAACAGAAATTTTGGGCTCAGTTGTGGTCATAAGACAGGGACTACCTGTAGAATCCAAATTCTTCAAAAATTGCCTTTTTATTTTGGTTATCTTCTCATTTCAAGCAAGCCATTCATGAACCCCACACCCATCTGAGATGTAGTGACATGGGAAAAGTCCTTTGCTGTGGTCCTACTAGCTTTTGGAATTCCCAGTTGAGGACAGACCATTTGGCAACTTCATGCATTTCATCATCCTCTGAAGACGTTTATCATGTCCAGCTTTTGGCCTTCCAGATTTCAAAATGTGATTTCAAATTACACTATCTCTTGGTTTGTGAATAGATTTTGCCTTCTTGCTTTTTGTTTTAGTTGTTTCTTAGGGACTGGAAATACTGAGCACAATGCTAATAACTTTAATTTGGGTGTGAACGGGGAGATGTAATGCAGTAATATTTGATTTCAAAAGAGAAAACTTTTTAAAACTGAAAAGACTACCAAGAAGGAAGATAAATGAGAAAGAGGATAAAATCAACATTTGAGGATTATTAAAATCTACAACAATAAAAGTCAAGCAGAGAAAAGTTTACATATATAGTATGTGCGTATATGTGTATATATACTATAAAACATTAAAACACAAAATAAAATTGCACACCGAAAAAGCCCTTCAGTTTTTTCTAGGACGCAGACAATGTGGAGGTAGTCAAGTCTCCAATGGGGGATCATTTGAGAGCCCCATTACCAAGAATCAATGCTTCCAGACGTTGGCCCCTGACCTTCCAAAAATGAAGGCCACAACCAACTGGTTCTCCTGGTAGGATCAAAGGGTTCAGACTGACTCTAATGGGGAGGTGTAGTTCTGATGATAACAGGTGCCAATCCACAAAAGGCTTTATAGATTTAAACCAGCATTTTAATATAAACTATTAAAGCCATGCTTTTTTCATTGGGGAGAAATTTTCTCTTACAGTATTTAGCTACAGTTTAAGTAATTCTGAAAGAATAATATGAGGTTCTATACACAATAGCATAATCCATAGAACAGGTTGAGATAATCCAACAGAATTTGAATTTGAATTAATTTGAATTCTATAAAGAAATGCTATTCTTAGTTTACTTTTCAGGTTCAGAAAGATTGTTCTAGTGGAAAAGAAAAAGCAAGCTGAGTTTCAGGAATAAGGTGTTACTATCACATGTATATAATTGCCTTTCCGTAGGTTTAATTTTAAAACAAATTGGGCATAAACCTTGTCTTTAATGATCTTCTAAGCCAACTAAATACTGCAAATATGAAAACAATTGTATTATCCATATGTTGACATTAATCAGGTTACACATTCCATAAAGTATGGGAGGACAATGTATGACTTATTACATGTTGTTGAACAGCAACCTCCATCTTTCATCTCCACTGTCATTTTAACTAGGACTGATGGGTGCTGTAGTTCAGCAATACTTGGAAAGCTATATTTTGCCCATTTCTGCCATAAGGCAAAGAAAGCACATTTTGAAATCTATATATTTTGTGATTCCCAAAGGATAAGAATGTTTCTACTGAGCCACACCTGAAGTTAAACACAGGGCTTGATGTTAATAAAGAGTACGTTAAAAAAAGATACCCAATTTGTCTAAACAAAATGCCATCTAGAAAATATTAATTTGATCCTCTAAGATAACAATCTTGTACAATTTCTAAGTATATAAAATGTATATGCTTATAGAAGTATCTAGTAAAAACTGCATGACTAAAACCCATAGCTTCTGATTTTTATATTTGATTATTCCAGAATTTAATTTGAAAACTTCAGAATTATGTTTTTTTAAATTGACTTAGCTTATTTTCTTCCAAAATTGTTGCATTCTCTCTGTTAACATGAAATATTTTTGTAAGGTATGTCATTATCATTTATAAGTCTCTTTCACCTATGGTATTTCTTTTTAACTGTAACCAGAATACTGCAGATTACTTTTTCTGTATATTCTTATATTGCAGTATACTCCGAATAGGAAAGAGTTTTATGATTTTTTATAACAGTTTCCCTATGTGCTTCTTATAAAATTATTTTTTAAATTTAATATAATGTTCTTTTGAGAATTATTGAATTGTAGCAGTGGCATTTAATATATGACTATTTAATTTGATCTCTCTCTCTCTCTCTCTTTCTCTCTCTCTCTTTCTGTGTGTCTCTGTGTGTGTATAATTTATTTGTATTTTATATATTCTACGTATTATGTATATTTTCAAGGCCAAAACATAATGCATGAAAATGAATAACTTTTATTGAAGTATCTGAAATGTCAGAAATATCTTCTGGCAAATTCAGAAGGCAATGAGGATACTTATTACTTAGATGGATAAAATATATCGGTATCAATTTTTTATTAGCATGTTTCTCTAAATAAAAACATGTATGTAACAAGAGCATAAAATTAAAAAAAATACTCTTCAAGGTTGTGTGCCTGAGCACAGAAGTTTAATCACTTTCATATTAGAGATTCTATTTAGCCACAGATTTAAATGGTTTGTGTGTGTGTGTGTGTGTGTGTGTGTGTGTGTGTGTGTGTGTGCGTGTAAGTAATGGAGATTCAATCTTGAAATAGGTAATATAATACTCTCCAAATGTTTCAACTAGAATTCCCATATACCTTGACACACTTAAGGGAACTATTAATAATATACTACATGTTTTATTGAATAATATATAATAATATTGACAGAAAACAGTATTAATAGTTCTTAAATATTTTTGTTACTGTTGTGGAGGGTGAATGATATAAAAATCATACTGAAATCACAAAAATGGCAAAATTCATTGAAATGATGTGATAAAGCTTTGACCGCAATTAGATAGACACATATAAATGGACAGAAGTGGCAACTGTATTTTCAATACAACCAGTTTCATTTATTAACTTCTACCTATATATTCTATTAATTGGCTCACCAGATAACAGTGTATGCATTTGAATTTAACAAATAAACATATTAGATTTTAACATGCTATGTGAGAATTATACGACAATTTTCACTATTTATGCTGAAAGGGCAGAGTGCATAGAGAGACTGCCTCACTTCAAAAATGGTATCATTTGAATATTATGCCTAAGCAAAGTGAATTCTAGAA